AATTCTTCCTTTTTTTGCAGTACAGCACCACCCAGGGGGGTGAGAGACATGTATGCCAGGGGAATTGTGAACTTATTCCCTAACCTTAGTGATCCATTCTCCAGGACTGGTTATGTAAGTTACATAATAGAATTCATTTTGGCTCAGTTATATAGCGCCAATTCACACCAATAGTCTACAGCAAACATCCGGATTGAACTTAGTTCTTTGTGCACTGAGTTTGGTCCATTATTACAATCAGTTGTTTTACTCCTCTCTCAAACCATCAAGAGCCACCTCCTCAGATCAAGACTCTGCAGTCCACATGCACCTGAAGGACAAGGGACACACCTTTAAAGATGACAAAGTAGACATTCTGGACAGAGAAGATAGATGGTTTAAGAGGAGTAAAAGAAGCTATCTATGTCAAACGTGAAAAAACCCACTTTAAATAGGGGGGGGGGTTACATTTCACCTTCCCAGTACCTATAATGCAGCTTTCAATCTCATTCATAAGCAGTTTCAGTCTAGGTCACACCTTAATGCATCGAATCAACATGACTCCCTCACAATAGAGGCCAACGACTCATCAGGGGATGGAGAGGAGGGGTCCCCAGAGTAGTTTCTGCTCGTTAAATAACAGCAGACAGCTACAGCTTGTCAGCTTGACTCTCCCATATTCCAGTCAGAATTGACAAAGCTCCTCGAATGAGAAGTGAAACATCTTCAAGTTACCAAAGAAGTCCAGTTGCCTTCATTTGAACCGTTTGGAGTACAAAAATACAGAGCAAACATTTTATTTGTGGAGGAACATGCTGGGAAACGTGGGTCTAGAGGTGGCGACGGCATGAAGAGGTGGAGGAGAATGAAGGACAACTTTGTCTCAATAGTAAACACACCATCATGGACCGGATACACGGGAGCAGATTGACTTCAAATAAATCTGAGTTGTGTTTGTGATATTTCCCCCCTAGGAGCATTATTATGACGGTGACAGATGCACTGGGTACTTGGCCAGGGGGATTAAAACTGCTCAGAGGGCCGCAGCTAGACAGAGACGATCAGCATTTGAAGGTAACTGTTATATTATCGATCTGAAACATGTTCGTTTTGGGACGGCGGTGGCAGATGAGTTATGTGCCTGTCTCGTAACCAGAGGGTTGCGGGATTGAGCCCCACACAGTCTGTCACAGCCATGTTCTTGGGCAAGACACTTACCCCGCCTTGCCTGCTGGTGGCGGTCAGAGGAACGGTTGTTCCAGTGCTCGCTGCCCCGCTTCTGTCAGTGTGCCCCAGGGCAGCTGTGGCTACGTCGTAGCTCATCATCACCAGGGTGAGACTGTCACGCTCATACGCGTGAGTGTTGGTGATTGGAGTGTAGCTGCGTTTGACCGTGTGTGATTTTATTTCTGCAGCGAACCTTAAAACTCGCCTCGCTTCACCCAGAGCTTGTTCTTTAAAACGTGTCCAGTCCTGATCTACTCACATTCACTGTTAAGTTTTATAACCATAATGAAATGTTCCTTTTTAAGCACAAAGGCCTGCACCAAGAAGACGGAAGAAAGCTGAACTCACCTGACTTCTTGGATGTGACACGAAGTGGAAGACCTGGTCCCAGTCATGAGTCAGGCCCTAACACAGAAGGTCACCACCCGTAGACAGCAACAGTTTGTTATTGGTTAGAGTAGGAGATGCTGTGTCTAGTAATTGGTTCAGTATTGTTACCCCTTTGTGTGTTTCGATAATAAATGGTAGCAGCGGGGCAGATTCAGACTTGGGGAGAATACGGTGGTATCCTTGTATCACACTCACGTCAATTCTCATTGACTCGTATCTCCTCCGCTGCAGCTAAAGCTCAATCCTGTCTCCTTGTGTGATTCTTTTCAGGTTGTGGTGTTTTCCACCCTAACAGTCACTAACTTAGGAACAGGGGTATACCGATATATCTGGACAATATTTACCTATTTTATGCATCAGTATCAACCAATATTTGTCCTTAATAAAGCTGATTTAAAGTCAGGCGCATCCTCAGGTAGTCCAGTGCTGTTGCGGAATTTAATTAAAATTTTAGGTCCACTAATAACATCCGCATAATAAGTACTCTAAATGAACTTTATTTAAGTGTCTGACGTTAACACTGATCAGTGCACAAAGTCAAGATTTAGGTTGGTTTAATTCAGCGTTCAAAATTGATTCAGCTTCTGAAATTTAGTGCATCAACTGTGACATTTTAGCATGAAAATAAAGTGGAAAACATCTGGAAATAGGCCATGAAAATGGGCTCGTAAAAATTGGCATTACATATCAGCCGTCGGCTGATCTGACTCTGTTAGGGATTTTATCAATATGTTTATCAATAACCCATTTCCAGAAGTCGAGGAGAAAAGGAGACGATGAAACAACAAGTCAACCAGTTATAACTGCGGCATATGCATGGGGCAAAATGCCCCGAACATCTGGTCACAGACTTTATTTAAACCGAAAGATAAGAATGGGAGTGAGGTCATTGTGTGAGAGAGTGTGAGTGTATGAGTGAGAGAAGAATGTGTGTGTATATGTGAAGAACAGTGTGTGGGTGTGTCTGAGTGTGAGAATGCTTCAGGACATTTGTTAACAGGATTAAAGCAATGAAATATAAAATTTCCATAACAGTGTGTGTGTGTGTGAGAGAGAGAGAGAGAAAGGGGTTTACTGTAATAGCGTCATGCAGATTTTAATATTGCAACTTCTCTTTTTTGGAAAAACTAAATCCTGATTTTTTTTCCCTCATCCCATTGTTGAATACTGGTAATTCATACAAGTGCAGCATGTAAGAATAGAGTGAGATTTTTACAGTGAGAAAATCCGAAAAGAATCTAATGTTTCAGTCATTTAGGAAGGAAGGTTGTACTGAAACATTTCATATCCAGCTGGCTGTGAGGATAATCAGTTTTTTGTCTTTCAAAACAAATGGAGGAACGGGAGGGGGAGGATCTCTGGTATTTTGAAAAATTTGGAAGTCTAGGGCAATTGGAGGGCCACCTGTACCCATGGATTGTCTCAGCCAGAGACGGTGGCACAGGAGTTAAGTGCTCGCCCTGTGATTGGAAGGCTGCAGGTTCGAGCCCCGCTCAGTCTGTCGCTATCGTTGTGTCCTTGGGCAAGACACTTTATCCACATTGCCTGCTGGTGGTGGTCGTAGGGACCGGTGGCGCCAGTGCTCGGCAGCCTCGCCTCTTGTCAGTGCGCCCCAGGGCATCTGTGGCTACATTGTAGCTCATCCCCACCAGTGTGTGAATGGGTGAATGACTGATTGTGTTGTAAAGCGCCTTGAGGGGTTCCAGGACTCTAGAAGGCACTATATCAAATACAGGCCATTTACCATTTATATGTGGAGACTGCTTAGACTGGGACGCTGCTCGACGTGAATCATAAGCTAGAGGTCCTATCTGTGATCCTGCTGTTATCGCACAAAATGGATGGGATCTTGGAGAAAGTCACGGCATGGTATGGGTAAATTTAAACCCAATTATTGAATTTACTTTAAAAAATGGACCATTTAAGAGCTGAAAGGCAGAGAGGAAATCATCTCTGTCTGCCTCAAAACAATTGTTCGTATCTGAATTTGGCGCCCTGCTAGCCTTGAGCTACGAGAAGAAAAAACCTCCACGAAGGAATTCCAACAGATGCTGTTAAAATACACCCTACCCCACCGTGTTTGGATTGGTGGCCTGGGCCTGGCAAGATCACCAACTAAAGGAGTCGATGTGCTCTTTTGTCATTTTAAACACATTTCTTAATCTTTTTTAAAAATCTTTTTTATATTTAAATTTTTTTGTTTTCGTGAAGCGCCTCGTGATTTTTATTTTGAGAGGCGCTATGTAAAATTTTTCTTTCTTTTTTCTTTCTTCGAACAACAGCGATCAAGCATGAGCACTGAGGCTGCAGCCCTCTCTGGGGAAACAGGTTCTCCAGCCTGCCTACCTGCCCATCGGAGACTCATGTCTGTAGACTGTCAGATGTTTTGTGCTTATCTATGTAATTATTTAATTTACATCTATTTAATGAACCATGAAATGTGAGATTCCATAGGAAATATGAAATCAATCTTATTGATCTTTGGATAACTTAAACCAGAAGATTGGAATTTTTTTATTGCAGAGATTATGTAACCACTTCGTATTAACTGAGAGACGAGAGAAAAGAGAGGGGGTCACCTTCAAAAAGTTTAAGTAGATTTATTTCTAAACAATTTTAAACAAGACTAACTCTAACTCTTAAGTGATGAATGGATCTTGGTGTGAATGAGATGTGAGATGAATGGTGTATGTGTGAGTGATGTTGTCATCAGAACTCTCGTATCCGGAGAAGCAAGTCTGAGTGGGAAGTGATGTTTTGCTCTTAAGCTATGATCAGAGTTTCATAAATACATGAGACGCCATTTTATCGCTCCACACATACCCTTAGAATGAGATCTCCGTACAGATCCAGAATGCCAGGTCCTCGAACCCCTCTTTTGGTACCGGAGCCGATGAAACAGCGTCAGCAGTGCGACAGACTAGTCTTTGGATTGTCTCCAGGTAAAAAGCGACAGTTGGTTGACAGCGTCAGATGGACCCTGAGGGTCAGTGAGTTCAGCTTTTATTCTGAAAGGAACCATTGCTTGGTTGGTAAAGTGTAACAGATTTTTACAGCTTGTCGGTTCTTTGCCTAAAAAGGAAGTCCGGGTGGCCGGTCCGATATTTCTCTTAGAATGCGGTGAACTGGCTTAAGATGGCATGGGGACTGGTTTTATTAATCTGGATGTTTTGATTTACGGTCGAATCAGAGTTTGACGGATTTATAAACACCACAGAGACTATGTCACGCTTCAGAAAGGAAGGTTCCGATTGGATGAGAAAGATAAAATGTGACATGTGACATTACATTACGTGTGTCAGTGTATCTAGTGCAGCTAGATTAAAGTCATATGTAATGAAAAAGGTTACAGTTATTTAATGAGCCATAAGGCATGGGATTCCATAGGAAATATGAAATCCACCTTCTGAATCGGTGGGTTATTTAAACCAGAAGATTGGATCTTTTTATTGCAGGGATTAGATAACCGCTCGGTATTCACTCAGAGACAACAGAAGAAAGAGAGTCAAGTTTAAAAGTTAAGAATTTTATTACTAACAAGTTAAACTAGACTGACTTTAAATCTAAATGTATGGTGTAACTAAAATGGATGAGGCGATGAATGGATGACGTGTGATCCAGCAGGTTCACCTCCAAGATCGTCTGAGACCAGCCACTCAGACAGCTGCTGAAACAATTGGTTTGCATAACCAAACAATTCTGATGGGATCCGAAGGTGTTGTCTTCTCATTAAGCTTTGGTTAGGTGGTTCAGAAATACATAAGACCCCATCATGTCGGTCTACCTACCCTTCGTGGAAGTCCTCTGTAGATCAGGAATATCGAGGTCCAGTAGACCCTCTCTAGAGCCGAGCCGGTAGGAAAAGCCGCGGTTCCGGTCAGACCCGTCTTTGAGTTACTTCCGGGTACACGACAAGTTATTGGCATCTGGTGAGACCCAAGCCTGGGTCTGAATGGTTCAGCTTTTATTCTGAAAGGGACTGTTGTCGCTGTTGGAATAGCGACGAATTTTTCAGCTTGTCGTGGTTCTTTCGGTTAAAGAGTTAAAGGTCGGGATTGGCCACTCCGTCACTTGTTCTGGAACGCTTTGAACTGGCGTTAGAGCTGACGTGGCATGGTTTTATACTTCGGCTGTTATGGTTTATTGTCGAATGAAAAATGACCAAACACCATCAAAACCACGCCTCCGTCAGATCTGTAAGATTCTGATTGGATCAGTGAAAGTAATGTGTCATGTCTTTTAACGCTACGTGAGATCAGTCCTGTTGGAACACTTAAAGTCATAGTACCTTTATATTCTATAGGATCATAATAAGGTAATTAATATTTTGATTTCACAGGTCGGTCACATGTTATTTATTGACTAACACTTTGATGGATTAGCTTTATTAAAATAGAGTTATTGGATTAATTAAAAGAAAAGAGTTCATTCTTCATTCTTCTGTTGAGCTGAAAATAAGCAGGTTAGAAGCGAATGCATGAGACCTGGAGACCACTATCTCATGCAGACTAGTCTTGAGCTAAGAAGGGAAAAATAAGAGTCATTCCGTTCCGTTACACTTATTACTTATTAAAACTGATCATAACCATTGTCATTTCACAGATTGGTCCACATCTTATTATTGGACTAACTTTGTTTGATTAGCTTTATTAAAAATAGAAAGAGTTCTTTGATTTATTAAAAAGAAAGAGTTATCTTCTTTCTTCTCTTGAGCTGGAAAGGAAACAGTTTTAGAAGCAAATGCATGACCTTGAGGCAGTCTCATGTCATGCAGATTAGTTCCTCCTGAGGAGAGAGGGTAAATAACCTTTGGTGGAATAGCTCCTTCATCACGTTACATCGAGTTTGGGGTGATGGTGGCACAGGAGTTGAGTGCTCGCCCCGTAATCGAAAGGTTGCAGGTTTGAGCCCCGCTCAGTCTATCGCTGTCGTTGTGTCCTTGGACAAGACACTTAACCCCCCTTGCCTGCTGGTGGTGGTCGGAGAGACCAGCAGTACCAGTGCTTGGCAGCTGTCAGTGCACCCCCACCAGGGTGTGAATGGTTGAATGACTGATTGTGTTGTAAAGCACCTTGAGGGGTTCCATGACTCTAGAAGGCGCCATATCAAAAACAGGCCATTTATTTTTTGAGGTGTTTTGTTTTTTCCATAGCAAAGCAACACCCTTTCAGGAGTACCTCTGGTATGCCTTTTCTTCCCTCCCCCCACTTATCATCATGTAACCCTTTTCTGTCTAAAGCCGGGCGTACACTGTGCAACTTTTTCATAAAGTCATGTAAAATAGTCACGCAACCATGATTATCTCTTAGACTATAATTGTGCCACCAAAATCCATAATGGTTGCAACCCTACTAACCATCAGATATGATTCAGGTTTGTTAGTTATTATTTCATCTCATTAGCATGCTAGTTCCCTGCGGTAAATGTGTCTCGTTCATCTGCTTCTTCTGTCATACAGAATCCGTCACAATGAAACCAGCTCTGGAGCAGTTTGAATCAAATGAGTCATGTGACTCCCAAGAAACCATCATCCTCACAGAGAGTCCCTCCAGTAAGAGGCTGAGGCTCGACCCAGATGCCAAGCATGTAGGAACTAACACACAAACATCTGAGCAGAACACAAACTGTGTGTGTGCGTGCGTGTTTGTGGGATGTGCTCTCAACATGCTGGATTGTTTTTCCTCTTTGTTTGAAGTTGGTGAAATCCATTCTTACCAAGAAAGCTGGTGGGGAACGCATCATAAATGAATACGACCGACACAAGACCCTGTCAGATGAAACCAGAAGGAAAATGGTGAACATACTGGTAGCTGACATGATCGAGAACAATGGGTAATTTGTCTCTGGCTTTTAGTTTGCTTAAAGCTACGCTGCTAAATCTGCATATCAAGCTATGTTAAAGGTTCCATCAATTTTAAACCTTTGAGGGCACAAAATTTGATTAATAAATTGGTGTTGGCACTATTCCGATGTCATTTCTCTTAAATATGAGTTCTTTTCATCAGCCTGACTTTCTACCCGATAATAAAATGGTTATTTGCAGTGAAGCTCCGCCCATGCCCGCTCCAACCAAACACACCTACATCGATGAGTGTGCTGTTGTGGTGCCCTTGGTAGTCCAGTGGGTAAAGCATCCAGTCTGGCACTCTAACCACTGGACTAACAAGTCTGTTACAAAAAATTAGTCACTTAAAACACATATCCTCTGCTGGCCATTATGTGTGTCTTTGTAGACAAGACGCATGGTTTTTACGCCGGTTTTTTGTCCCCAATGAATAAATAATTTATTAGAATATCCACTCTGGTACTGGTGGAGGTTCAAACAGTCTGTGACATGAAGGTCACATTCTCAACAGCATGAAATCAACCGCTCTATGCTCGCATCTAGGAAAACGTCAGCGTTAGTGACCTACTTCCAGGAAAAGCAGGTTTCAGATCAGAGAAACCTAGTAATGGTGACAGGTGTTTAGCGTCCTCTTGTTAACTGTGGTAATGTACGTTCTGGGATCAGACAGATGTGGTCTAAGGATCATATCTGATGGGAGAGTGAGAGCTTATTAGCTGTGTTTGTGCTTAAGAGGTAGCTTGTTTTACAGATTTCCTATTGCAGCTTTAATGTAGCTTTTAGATGAATATCAAATATTTCTTTCCGTTTATTGCAATTTATTTATATATAGTGTGTGTGTGTCTGTAGATACACATGTATATATATATATATATATATATATACATATATATATGTCTGTATTCATATATATATATATATATATATTATATATATATCTGTATCCATATATATATATATATATATATATATATATATATATATATATGTGTGTGTGTATACATATGTATGGATACAGATATAAATATAGATATACACTCAACAAAAATATAAACGCAATGCCTTTGTTTTTGCTCCGATTTTTCATGAGATGGACTAAAGATCTAAAATTCAATCCAGATACACAATATTACCATTCCTCTCAAACATTGTTCTCAAATCAGTCTAAATGTGTGATAGTGAGCACTCACACCTCACAGGTGTGCCACTTCAAGATGCTGAGCCGACATCATGAGTAGTGCACAGGTGTACCTTATACTGCCCACAATAAAAGGCCACCCTGGAATGTGCAGTTTTGTCTCACAGCAAAATGCCACAGATGCCACAAGCATTGAGGGAGCGTGCAATTGGCATGCTGACAGCAGGATTGTCAACCGAATCTGTTGCTCATGCATTGAATGTTCATTTCTCCACCATAAGCCGTCTCCAAAGGCATTTCAGAGAATATGGCAGTACATCCAACCGGCCTCACAACCGCAGACGATGTGTAACCACATCAGCCCAGGACCTCCACATCCAGCAGGTTCACCTCCAAGATCGTCTGAGACCAGCCACTCAGACAGCTGCTGAAACAATTGGTTTGCATAACCAAACAATTTCTGCACAAACTGTCAGAAACCATCTCAGGGAAGCTCAACTGCATGCTCGTCATCCTCATCGGGGTCTTGACCTGGCTCCAGCTCGTCGCCTTAACTGACTTGAGTGGGCAAATGCTCACATTCGATGGCGTCTGGCACGTTGGAGAGGTGTTCTCTTCACGGATGAATCTCGGCTTACATTGTTCAGGGCAGATGACAGACAGCTGTGTGGCGTCGTGTGGGTGAGCCCTTTGCTGATGTCAATGTTGAGGATCGAGTGGCCCATGGTGGTGGTGGGGTTATGGTATGGGCAGGCATCTGTTATGGACGATGAACACAGGTGCATTTTATTGATGGCATTTTGAATGCACAGAGATACCGTGATGAGATCCTGAGGTCCATTGTTGTGCCGTACATCCATGAACATCACCTCATGTTTCAGCAAGATAGTGCACGGCCCCATGTTGCAAGGATCTGTACACAATTCTTGGAAGCTGAAAATGTCCCAGTTCTTACATGGACAGCATACGCACCGGACATGTCACCCGTTGAGCATGTTTGGGATGTGCTTGACCGGCGTATACGACAGTGTGTACCAGTTCACACTAATATCCAACAACTTCGCACAGCCATTGAAGAGGAGTAGACCAACATTCCACAGGCCACAATTGACAATCTGAAAAACTCTATGCGAAGAAGATGTGTTGCACTGCATGAGGCAAATGGTGGTCACACCAGATACTGACCGGTTCTGAGTCCCAGACCCCCAATAAAGCAAAAAACTGCACATTCCAGGGTGGCCTTTTATTGTGGGCAGTATAAGGTACACCTGTGCACTACTCATGATGTCAGATCAGCATCTTGATGTGGCACACCTGTGAGGTGGGATGGATTTGTGAACAATGTTTGAGAGAAATGGTAATATTGTGTATCTGGAATTAATTTTAGGTCTTTAAGTCCATCTCATGAAAAATCGGAGCAGAAACAGAGGTGTTGCGTTAATATTTTTGTTGAGTGTATAGATAGATAGATAGATAGATAGATAGATAGATAGATAGATAGATAGATAGATATAATATACTGTATATCAAGTGTATTAGTCAGAAATAAAGTTTTCAGTATTAATAAAATTCTTCCTTTTTTTGCAGTACATCACCACACAGGGGGGTGAGAGACATGTATGCCAGAGGAATTGTGAGCTTATTCCCTAACCTTAGTGATCCATTCTCCAGGACTGGTTATGTAAGTTACATAATAGAATTCATTTTGAATCATTTATATAGCGCCAATTCAAAACAATAGCCGTCTAACGCAGTGTTTCCCAACCCTGGTCCTGAGGGATCACTGTCCTGCATGTTTTCCATGTTGCCCTTTTAAACACCAGTGTTTCCCTGCTGCCACACACCTGACTTAAATGAAAGAGTGATTAACAGGCATCTGCAGGACTTGATGTCCTCCTGAGGAGGCAATGTAAATCAGGTGTGCTGAAGCAGAGACATGGAAAACGTGCAGGTCAGTGTGCCCTGTGGACCAGGGTTGGGAAATTCTGGTCTAACGCACTTCATAAAGCAAACATCCGGATTGAATTTAGTTCTTTGTGCACTGAGTTTGGTCCATTATTACAATTAGTTGTTTTACTCCTCTCTCAAACCATCAAGAGCCACCTCCTCAGATCAAGACTCTGCAGTCCACATGCACCTGAAGGACAAGGGACACATCTTTAAAGATGACAAAGTAGACATTCTGGACAGAGAAGATAGATGGTTTAAGAGGAGTAAAAGAAGCTATCTATGTCAAACGTGAAAAAAAAAACATTTTAAATAAGGGGGGGTTACATTTCACCTTCCCAGTACCTATAATGCAGCTTTCAATCTCATTCATAAGCAGTTTCAGTCTAGGTCACACCTTAATGCATCGAATCATAATGACTCCCTCACAATAGAGGCCAACGACTCATCAGGGGATGGAGAGGAGGGGTCTCCAGAGTAGTTTCTGCTCGTTAAATAACAGCAGACGGCTACAGCTTGTAAGCTTGACTCTCCTATATTCCAGTCAGAATTGACAAAGCTCCTCGAATGAGAAGTGAAACATCTTCAAGTTACTAAAGAAGTCCAGTGGCCTTCATTTGAATCGTTTGGAGTACAAAAATACAGAGCAAACATTTTATTTGTGGAGGAACATGCTGGGAAACGTGGGTCTAGAGGTGGCGACGGCATGAAGAGGTGGAGGAGAATGAAGGACAACTTTGTCTCAATAGTAAACACACCATCATGGACCGGATACACGGGAGCAGATTGACTTCAAATAAATCTGAGCTTGTGTTTGTGATATTTCCCCCCTAGGAGCATTATTATGACGGTGACAGATGCACTGGGTACTTGGCCAGGGGGATTAAAACTGCTCAGAGGGCCGCAGCTAGACAGAGACGATCAGCATTTGAAGGTAACTGTTATATTATCGATCTGAAACATGTTCGTTTTGGGACGGCGGTGGCTGATGAGTTATGTGCCTGTCTCGTAACCAGAGGGTTGCGGGATTGAGCCCCACACAGTCTGTCACAGCCATGTTCTTGGGCAAGACACTTACCCCGCCTTGCCTGCTGGTGGTGGTCAGAGGAACGGTTGTTCCAGTGCTCGCTGCCCCGCTTCTGTCAGTGTGCCCCAGGGCAGCTGTGGCTACGTCGTAGCTCATCATCACCAGGGTGAGACTGTCACGCTCATACGCGTGAGTGTTGGTGATTGGAGTGTAGCTGCGTTTGACCGTGTGTGATTTTATTTCTGCAGCGAACCTTAAAACTCGCCTCGCTTCACCCAGAGCTTGTTCTTTAAAACGTGTCCAGTCCTGATCTACTCACATTCACTAACTTAGGAATAGGGGTCCAGGACATATCAGGACAATATTTACCTATTTTATACATCGGTATCAACCAATATTTGTTCTTAGTAAAGCTGATTTAAAATCAGGCGCATCCTCAGGTAGTCCAGTGCTGTTCACTAATAACATCTGCATAATAAATACTCTAAATGAACTTTATTTATGTGTCTGACTTTAACACTGGTCAGTGCACAAAGTCAAGATTTAGGTTGGTTAAATTCAGAGTTCAAAATTGATTTAGCCTCAGAAATTTTGTGCATCAACTGATGTAATTGGTGGCATTTTAGCATACAAATAAGGTGGAAAACGTTTGGAAATAGGCCACGAAAATGGGCTCGTAAAAATTGGCGTTACACACCGGCCGTCGGTTGAGCTGACTCCTTTTTATCAGCGTCGGTATTGGCAATAGAAAAACCAATACCGGTCGACCTCTACTTAGGAAGCTTATTGCCATAGTGAGTGAATGACATGACTAGTCTTAGTTCACATTAATTATTGGTGTTTTCTCGAATGTAATGTTCCAGAGTCAGTGGATGTTTTTGAGTAAGTAAAGTAAATTCATATGTGGTTTACAAAAGCATTTATCGTTTCCTGTAGCATTCACAAAGTTTGGTGTGCCAGCTGAGACCGAAGGTGTAAAGGATCACGATGGCTCAGGAACCAAGTTGGATGAAGACTTATTTGAGGATAAAGTTGAAGATCCATCAGCTGGACTGTTAACCATCAGATATGATTCAGGTTTGTTGGTTATTATTTCATCTCATTAGCATGCTAGTTCCCTGCGGTAAATGGGTCTCGTTCATCTGCTTCTTCTGTCATACAGAATCCATCACAATGAAACCAGCTCCGGAGCAGTTTGAATTAAATGAGTCATGTGACTCCCAAGAAACCGTCATCCTCACAGAGAGTCCCTCCAGTAAGAGGCTGAGGCTCGACCCAGATGCCAAGCATGTAGGAACTAACACACAAACATCTGAGCAGAACACAAACTGTGTGTGTGCGTGTTTGTGGGATGTGTTCTCAACATGCTGGATTGTTTTTCCTCTTTGTTTGAAGTTGGTGAAATCCATTCTTACCAAGAAAGCTGGTGGGGAACGCATCATAAACGAATACGACCGACGCAAGACCCTGTCAGAGAAAACCAGAAGGAAAATGGTGAACATACTGGTTGCTGACATGATCGAGAACAATGGGTAATTTGTCTATGGTTTTTAGTTTTAGTTTGCTTTAATGTAGCTTTAAGATGAAATTCAAATATTTATTTCCATTTAACACAACTGATATACAGTACAGGCCAAAAGTTTGGACACACCTTCTCATTCAATGTGTTGTCTTTAGTTCATGACCATTTACATTGAAACCATGTTTTATATTCTATTTTCTTCAGAATAGCCACCCTTTGCTCTGATTACTGCTTGGTACACTCTTGGCATTCTCTTGATGAGCTTCAAGAGGTAGTCTCCTGAAATGGTTTTCCAACAGTCTTGAAGGAGTTCACAGAGGTGTTTAGCACTTGTTGGCCTATATATATATAGTCTCATAGTCTCTTTATATATATATATATATATATATATATATATATATATATATATATATATATATACAGTGATCCCTCGTTTATCGTGGTAGATGCGTTCCAGACCTGGCCGCGATAGGTGAAAATCCGCGAAGTAGGGACACCATATTTACAGTATTTATTTAACAGGTACTTATTCAGTATTTAGACTTTTAAAACCCTCCCTTTACATAGTACTGTATTTTTACTTGTTTTTTTTAATAGTTTTATTACAAAAAGTGCATTTTATGATGAAATTGATGAAAAAAAACAGGAATTTCTTGATATTTCGCATAGAAAAATACTGTGAATCTGTGAAAAATACTGCAAATCGGCGAATTTCCCTTGAATAAGGCTCCAAAGAAAAAATCTGCGAAGTCGTGAATCCGCGATAAACGAACCGCGATGTAGTGAGGGATCACTGTATATATATATATATATATATATATATATATATATATATATATATATATATATATATATATATATATATATATATATATATATAGTCTGTGACAGTTTCTTGGGAGTCACATCTCCTGAAATGGTTTTCCATCAGTCTTGAAGGAGTTCCCAGAGGTGTTTAGCACTTGTTATATATAAATCAAGTGTGTTAGTCAGAAATTAAGTTTTCATTATTAATAAAATTCTTCCTTTTTTTGCAGTACATCACCACACAGGGAGGTGAGAGACATGTATGCCAGAGGAATTGTGAGCTTATTCCCTAACCTTAGTGATCCATTCTCCAGGACTGGTTATGTAAGTTACATAATAGAATTCATTTTGGCTCATTTATACAGCACCAATTCAAAACAATAGTCATCTAATGCACTTTATAAAGCAAACATTCCAATTGAACTTAGTTTTCTGTGCCCTTTAGGTTAACACTTGTACGTCGCTTTGGATAAAAGCGTCTGCCAAATAAATATTTCGATTTCTACAAAATGTTTCTCAAATTTTTGATAATTGATATGCATGCTTGAGTTTTTTCAAATTGCTGGTTTGTGGTTTCAACTGTATATTTTCCCAATTCCAGACCTTTTCAAAATGTTTTTAGAATGTAGACCTACAGGAAGTGGAGAGGGAAGTAGTGGATACATAATCAGTATAGTTCCCCTTTTTATTATCCAAAAATCAGTTGGAAGCAGATTGACTTCTGAGTTTGTGTTTGTGATATTTCCACCCTAGGAGCATTTTTATGACTGTGACAGTGGCACTGGATACTTGGCCTGGAGGATTAAAACTGTTCAGAGATCCGCAGCTAGAAAGAGACGATCAGCATTCGGAGGTAACATTGTTATATTATGTAAAGATCTGAAACATGTTTGTTTATGTCAGGGCGATGGTGGCAGATGAGTTAAGTGCCTGTCTTGTAACAGGAGGGTTGCGGGATCGAGTCCCACTTGATCACCTGCTACTGGAGAGGCTGAGAGACTGGATAGGCCTATCAGGATCTGCTCCGGAATAGTTTTTCTTTTATCTGTCTGAGCGTTCCTTCTCTGTGGCCGTCTCCAAATTTAGGTCCTCCACCACCTCCTTCACTCTTGGTGTCCCACAAGGTTCTGTGCTGGTGCCTCTACTGTTCCTCCTCTATCTGCATCCGCTTCAGCACATCCTGATCTCTTTTAAGAATCTCCTACCATCTTTACGCAGATGACATCCAACTGTACATCTCCTTTAAGCCCCATGAGATGTCTAAGCTTCAGCTTTTACACTTCTGCTTAGACTCTATTAAAACCTGGATGGCTGGGAGCTTTCTACAGCTGAATGAAGATAAGACTGAGATCCTCATCTGTGCCCCAGACAAGCTGGTTCCCAAAGTCAGAGACTCTCGTGGTCACCTCTCTTCTCACACCAAACCCTTTGTCAGGAATCTTGGTGTGACCTTTGAAATGAATAAATGATGTTGTTCATCTCCAATGCCGGTATTAAAGCCATGAAAAACACACCGCTGCAATTCTGGAACGATACTGGGAGTAAATAAGCTGTTGGGTCACACGTAAGCTTCATATATAAAAACTTGCTTTACAGCAGTACTTTTGTTTTGAAAAATACCAGGAATTTACACTGAAACTGTGAGTGATTTCTTGTCTAACCCTATGTTAACAGTGGAAATTGACATGTCCCAGAAGCAGCTCACAGAAAAAATAGAACCTATCTTTAGCGGCGTGCTACTTTTGGGACCCGCCTGAAAGTTGTTGCATCGTAGTTGGTTTGAAACAGTCCATAAACTATGATGGATTCTATTTGAAGCAGTGGCGTTCCACTGCCATTCCTCTCCACTGATGTTTTCAGTGTGAGACCTGGTTTACACTACATCAACTCTCTTCACGTGTCTGAGCAAAACCTCCCTGAACCGTCTACAGGCGGTTCAGAATGCCTGTGCTCAGCTTCTGACCAAGTCCTCCAAACACACCCACATCACCCCGCTTCTCCCCCATTTGAAGATCCTGGTTCTGGTCTTTAGGGCCTTACATGGACAAGCACCACCATACATTGGTGATCTTATCAGAATCAGATTTATTGCCATGTTGGTGAGAGGCTCGTCTACTAGGAATTTGTTTCCGTGACGAGGTGCAAACATGTATTCAAGTCAAAGTCAAGTCAGGCAGTATTTACATTAGGGTACATCAAAAAATCAGAAAAGAAACATAGCCAGAAAACAATCATAAGCATAGGAATGTGGGTGACCAGGGCATTAATGTGTGTTTTGGCCATTCATCGGTTGTTCAGGAGCCTTACAGCAGAGGGGAAGAAGCTGTTTTTGTGGCGTGAGGTTCTAGTCTGCAAGGACCTGAACCTCCTCCCTGAAGGTTGGGTTTCAAACAGTCCATGACCAGGGTGAGAGGGATCAGCTGTTATCTGACCTGCATGTTTCAGAACCCTGGAGTTGTACAGGTCATGTACCGATGGTAGGTTGCATCCGATTACTTTCTCCGCTGAGCGCACTAACCGTTGCGGTCTTTGATTGTCCCTGGCAGTGGCTCCTACGTACCACTCAGTGATGGAGGAGGTGAGCGCTGATTTGATGATGGCCGTGTAGAACTGGATCATCAGCATGGCTGGCATGCAGAGCTTCCTCAGTTGACGCAGAAAGAACATCCTTTGCTGGGCCTTCCTGATGAGGGTATTGATGGACACCTCCCACTCGAGTTCATGGGTGATGATGGACCCAAAAGGAGTTCATGGTTGGAAACTGGTTGTCTGTCAGGGCTTTGCTGTGCCGTGGAGCCGGTGTTCTTCTGAAGTCTACTATCATCTCCACTGTCTTCTGCTCGTTCAGCTCTAGGTTGTTGGTGCTGCACCAGGAAGCAAGGCGCTCCACCTCTCCTCTGTATGAAGACTCATCCCCATAAGGCCAATGAGGGTGGGTTCATCCGCGAACTTGACCAGTTTCAGCGTCTGGTGGTTTGAGGTGCAGCTGTTAGTGTAAAGGGAGAAGAGTAGAGGAGCGAGGACGCAGCCCTACTGCTGGTTTGGGTGTCTGAGACATTTCCCAGCCTCACGCGCTGTCTCCTATCTGTCAGAAAGTCTGTGATCCACTGGCAGATGGGGTCGGGCACATTCAGCACGGATAGCTTGTCCTGAGGGAGAGCTGGGCAGACTGTGTTAAATGCTGAGCTGAAGTCTACAAACCGTATCCTTGCATAGGTTCCTGGGGAGTCCAGATGTTGCAGGATGAAGTGTATGGTAAGATTGAATGCATCTTGTACAGATCTGTTGGCTCTGTAGGCGAACTGCAGGGGGTCCAGAAGAGGGGTTGTGATTTTTTTGAGGTGGGCCAAGATCAGACACTCAAAGGACTTCATGTCCACCAATGTCAGCGCCACCGGCCTGTAGTCATTTAGTCCAGTGATCTTTGGTTTTCTAGGGACTGGGACAATAATGGAGGATTTGAAGCAAGTTGGAACATGACATGAGTCCAGAGAGGTGTTGAAGATCTTTGTGAAGACTGGGCTCAGCTCCTTTGCACAGTCTCAGGGTGGAGGGAGTCATGCCATCCGGTCCAGGTCCCTTGTGGGTGTTTAGCTTCTTGAATAGCCTATAGAGCTCTGGACGTTGCGCGACTCTCAGAGAGTAGATGCCATGTTGGCAGGCAACAAAGGTAAACAAAATGAACGGAATCGGCTTGGATTTTACTTCGTCTGAGTTTACTTCACACTTTAAAACCAAAGAAATTGTTTTATATAGTCAGAAATTAAATAGACTAAACATCTCAGACCCTTACCATGCCCCTGGGATACTTTTTAAAAACGCCAGAAGCTTTCGGAGCGGACCTGGCCAGGGAACGTCTTGGGATTTCCCTGGAGGAGCCGGCCCAAGTGGCTAAGGAGAGGGAAGTCTGGGCCTCTCGACTTAGGCCACTGCCCCCGCGACCCGACTCCAGATAAGTGGATGAAAATGGATGGATGGATGGACAAATAACATAGATTTACATGTAAGTAGTTTTAATTAGAGTGCTGTGCTGTTTGAATGTATAAACTGAACGCCAAGAGAAATCACTAGTTTGATTTTTTTCTGTGAATAAAATAAAAATGCCAGGCAGGAGCGTCTCAGGATCTGTCTGAGATCTGTCTTGATGAGACGGATAATAGCAATCCAAAGTGCTTTTTATGTGTTATCTGACAATTGATCAACCATTGCTTAAAAATTAAATACAGCTTAGCCGGTTAATTGCTGTGATCATAAGACACGTAAACGGCAGCACGCAGAAATCACGAGGCATTGTTTTACGTGATGTTTACTTGTTGCTATGAGTAATCAGACCGAAAAAGCCACGCCAAAATAAGTTTAGGAAGCCCACTAAGGATCATAATAAAAGCATTTAAAAATAAATACCATACACAGTTGAGGAAACGTTGGTTTAAGTACTTGATATGAAGTGGTCGCTGCATAAGCGAAAACCTTTACTCTCGGGATCCCACAGCTTCATTTTAGCCCAGTCACTAGCGCGTTTTACTGCAATGATCCAATGTTTGCGGCATTCCGGATCTTGGGGAATCCTGTAGAAGGCTCATCCCTTATGTCGTCCGCGTCTGTTCTGGCATCCTGGGGCACAACAGGAATCTACCATATTTCCCATTTGAGTTTTCTGACAATAACAAATAGCCCAGCTGCCGGCTTCTGCCTGCCAAAATGGTGCTGTTTCGATTTGAACTGTTGCATGCTGGGAGAAGTGACATCAACTCCCGGAGCTCTATAGCTCCGGGAGTTGACGCCACTTGGAGTGGAGTGGAGTCACAAGATCCTGCCTGACATATTTATTTTATTCACGGAAAAAAAAATCAAACTAGTGATTTCTCTTGGCGTTCAGTTTATACATTCAAACAGCACAGCACTCTATTTAAACTACTTACGTGTAAATCTGTTATTTGTCCATCCATCCATCCATTTTCATCTGCTTATCCAGAGTCGGGTTGTGGGGGCAGTAGCGTCAAGAGGCCCTGACTTCGCTCTCCCCAGCCGCCGGAGCCAGCTCCTCCGGGTAAATCCCAAGGGGTTCCCCGGCCAGGTCCGGTAAGAAGTCTGCTCCGACAGCTTCTGGCGTTTTTTAAAAGTATCCCAGGGACACGGTAAGGGTAGGAGATGTTTAGTCTATTTAATTTCTAACTATATAAAACGATTTCTTCGGTTTTAAAGTGTGAAGTAAAACCCAACGAAGTAAAATCCAAGCTGATCCCGTTCACGTTCATGTGTTTGTTTACCTTTTTTTACCTGCCAAAATGGCGTCTACTCTCTGAGAGTCACATGGGGTCCGGAGCTCTATAGACATCCTCTTCCAGGATTGTTAGGGGTGTGTTGGAGGGGAGAGGATAAGCCTTTTGTGAGGAGACTTCTGGGAGCAGGGAGGTTTGAACGACCTTGTTATGGAGATGTAGCTGATGGTTGAAGTCCTGGTTGGTTGGTGGGCCATCAAAGCGGCAATAGAACTCATTAAGTGTGTTTGCTAACTGTAGGTCCTCTGTTGACTGAGGTGTTTTGACTTGTAGTTGGTTATTTGCCTAAGCCCCCTCCAAACAGAGCCTGAGTCGTTAGCTGAGAATTGTTCTTTCAGCCCCTCAGAGTACCAAGAATTAGCATTTTTCACTTCCCCGCTAAAGCCTGCCGCACACAAGAGCAATCTGCTGAGCAAACAGCCTCGAATGACCGTTTCATAAGCAGATTGCTCGCCGTGTGCCCCTGATTTTCACTTAGTTTTCCACCTCCCGAGATGTTGAGGTGAATATCTAACCAGTTAGATATTTTCCACCCCACGGGGGGTAAAAACTCGCCGTGTGCGCACTACTGAGCTGCTGGCTGAGCTGAAATATTCTAGTGGCCAATCAAAGCACGTTCTCTGTTCACATGACCCCAGGATGTATTCAGGTGCAGCCCCCTGGCCTGTCTGCGTGTCAGAAAAATAAACAAAACGGTACCTTGCGGTTCGATGGGCCCACTGTTTCCACTACCCTCTCGAAGGACCCAGGTGGCGGTACTGTCGGGATGATTCTGGGTCTTCCAGGCGCATCTCTTGGAGTAAATTGGCATAAACTCTTTGCCTGCCCTCCTTTCCAGCTACCATACCATACTTTCCTAACCTTGAAATGCCGGTGGCGGCGACGCTTCATCAACAAAAATGCTTAATGTAAGATGTGATAGTGTCTGTGTACTCATCCAGGTTGTCTGTGGCTGAACAGTCCTTACACCCCCAGCAGGTCCCTGAGGTCCAGTGACCAAAGCCTACTGGTTGTGCAGCACCAGGCTAAAGACCAAAGGTGACAGATCATTTGCTGCTGTGGCCCCCGAGATCTGGAGCTCTCACCCTGAGTATGAGATCAGTGGACTCGGTGATCGTCGTCGTCGTCTTCCTCCGCTTCCCCGAGTCGCGGGGGCAGCATCCCAACTAGGGAGCTCCAGACCATCCTCTCCCCGGCCACCTCCACCAGCTCCTCCGTCAGGACCTCAAGGCGTTCCTGGACCAGATTGGAGATGTAAGTTCTCCAACGTGTCCTGGGTCGACCCGGGCAGGACATGCCCGAAACACCTCCCCAGGGAGGCGTCCAGAAGGCATCCTGACCAGATGCCCAAACCACCTCAACTGGCTCCTTTCGATCCGGAGGAGCAGCGGTTCTACTCCGAGTCCCTCCCGAATGTCTGAGCTCCTCACCTTATCTCTAAGGCTGAGCTCGGCCACCCTACGGAGGAAACTCATTTCAGCCACTTGTATCCGCGATCTCATTCTTTCGGTCATTACCCAAAGCTCATGACCATAGGTGAGGATTGGGACGTAAATCGACCGGTAAATCGAGAGCCTGGCTTTCTGGCTCAGCTCCCTCTTCACCACGACACATCGGCTCAGCGTCCGCATCACTGCAGATGCTGAACCAATCCGCCTGTCAATCTCCCGATCCCTCCTACCCTCACTCGTGAACAAGACCCCAAGATACTTAAACTCCTCCACTTGAGGTAGGACCTCTCCCCCGACCCGGAGCTGGCAAGTCACCCTTTTCTGGTCGAGAACCATGGTCTCAGATTTGGAGGTGCTGATCCTCATCCCAGCCGCTTCACACTCGGCCGAGAACCTACCCAGCAAGAGCTGAAGGTCAGAGCTGGATGAAGCTAGGAGGACCACATCATCCGCAAAAAGCAGAGACGAGATTCTCCTGCCACCAAACTCGACATACTCCACACCATGGCTGTGCCTAGAATTTCTGTCCATAAAGGTAATGAACAGAACCGGTGAAAAAGGGCAGCCCTGGCAGAGTCCAACCCTCACCGGGAACAGGTCCGACTTACTACCGGCTATGCGGACTAAACTCACGCTCCTCTGGTAAAGGGACTGAATGGCCCTTAACAGAAAGCCACCCACCCCATACTCCTGGAGTGTCCCCCACAGGGTGCCCCTGGGGACATGGTCATAAGCCTTCTCCAAATCCACAAAACACATGTGGATTGGTTGGGCAAACTCCCATGCCCCCTCCATCACCCTTGCAAGGGTATAGAGCTGGTCCACAGTTCCACGGCCAGGACGAAAACCACATTGCTCCTCCTCTATCTGAGATTCAACTATCAATCAGACCCTCCTCTCCATTACCTTGGAGTAGACCTTTCCAAGGAGGCTGAGGAGTGTGATCCCCCTGTAGTTGGAACACACCCTCAGGTCACCCTTCTTAAAGATGGGGACCACCACCCCGGTCTGCCACTCCACAGGAACTGCCCCCGATGACCACGCAATGTTGCAGAGACGCGTCAACCACGACAGCCCTACAACATCCATAGCCTTGAGATACCCAGGACGAATTTCATCCACCCCCGGGGCTCCGCCGCTGTGTAGTTGTTTGACTACCTCAGCAACTTCTGCCCCAGAGATTGGACAGTCCATCCCCAGGTCTCCCGGCTCTGGTTCCTCCTCGGAATGCGCGTAGGTGGGATTGGGGAGCTCCTCAAAGTATTCCTTCCACTGTCCGACTACAGCCTCAGTTGACATCAGCAGTTCCCCATCCCCACTGTAACAGTGTGGGCGAGTTGCTGCCTTCCTCTCCTGAGGTGCTGGACAGTTTGCCAGAACCTCTTTGGAGCCGATCGATAGTCTTTCTCCATGGCCTCACCAAACTCCTCCCACGCCCGAGATTTTGCCTCGGCAACTGCCACTGCTGTACCCCGCTTGGCTATCCGGTACCTGTCTGCTGCCTCCGAAGACCCACAGACCAGCCACGCCCTGTAGGCCTCCTTCAGCCTGACGGCTCCCCGAACCTCTGGTGTCCACCAGCGGGTACGGGGGTTGCCACCACGACTGGCACCGGCCACCTTGCGACCCCAGCTAGCAACAGCCGCCTCAACAATCGCAGAGTGGAACAAGGCCCACTCAGAGTCAATGTCCCCCACTGCTCTCGGGACATGGTCAAAGCTCTGCCGGAGGTGGGAGTTGAAGACCGTCTTGACAGGTTCTTCTGCCAGGCGTTCCCAGCAGACCCTCACTATGCGTTTGGGTCTGCTGGGTCTACGCGGCATCTTCCCTTGCCATCTGATCTGACTCACCACCAGGTGGTGATCAGTTGACAGCTCCGCTCCTCTCTTCACTCGGGTGTCCAAAACATATGGCCGCAGGTCAGATGATACGACTGCAAAGTATATCATTGACCTGCGACCTAGGCTGGCCTGGTACCAAGTGTACCGGTGGGCATCCTTATGTTCGAACATGTTCGTTATGGCCAAACTGCGGCTTGCACAGAAGTCCAATAACAAAACACTACTCGAGTTCAGATCAGGCGGGCCGTTCCTCCCAATCACACCCCTCCAGGTCAAGCTGTCATTGCCCACGTGAGCATTGAAGTCCCCCAGCAGGAGAATGGAGTCCCCTGATGAAGCACTATCTAGCACTCGTCCCAGGGACTCCAAAAAGGGTGGGTACTCTGAACTGATATTTGGCCCATAAGCACAAACAACAGTCAGGACCCGTTCCCCGACCCGAAGGCGCAGGGAAGCTACCCTCTCGTCCCCCGGGATAAACCCCAACACAGGCAGAGAGTCTTGGGTCTAACAAAAAGCCAACCCCAGCCCTCCGCCTCTCACCCGGAGCAACACCAGCAAAGGAGAGTGCCCACCCCCCTCTCAAGGACTTGGGTTCCAGAGCCAATGCTATGTGTCGAGGTGAGTCCGACTATATCTAGCCGGTACCGCTCAACCTCTGCCACAAGCTCCTGCTCCTTCCCCGCCAGCGAGGTGATGTTCCATGTCCCAAAAACCAGTTTCCTTGCCCGGGGATCGGACCGCCAAGGCTCCCGCGTAGGTCTGCCACCTGATCCACACTGCACCGGACCCTTCATGTTCCTCCTGTGGGTGGTGGGTCCACAGTTGGATGAGCCCATGTATCCGGTTCGGGCTGGGCCCGGCCGGGCCCCATTGGCAAAAATCTGGCCACCAGGCGCTCGCTCACAGGCCCCAACCCCAGGCCTGGCTCCAGGGTGGGACCCCGGTAACTCTCCGGGCCGGGTTCTCCGACTCTTTGAATGTACATTACATGTAGTCTCCTTTAAAAAGCAGCTGAAGACTCACCTGTTCAGGCTTTGGTGCAACCTTCATCACTATCCTCCTTTTATTCTGTTCTTTCTACAAATTCTGTCTTTCCCGGAATCCACTGATTGATTTAGCTTGTTCATTTTTTTCCTTTTTCGTCAGATTTTTTAATCACAATTCTTGCTTTTTTCATTTTTATATTATTTTTTTATCCTTTTTTAATACTTTTTTTTTGTTGTTTTTCCCAGGATTTTTCTCATGAGAAACGCTATATAAAAGATTATTTCTTCTTCTACCTTTCAGTTTTTCTGGTTTTGAAAATGCCGCTTTTTTGTTTGTTTTTATGTCGTATTCTGTAGCATCATCTGTAGAAGCACCTTGTAAAGATGGTCTTGGAGGACCAGCTACCAAACGAGATGCCCAGTTTGTTCCAGATACTGTCCTGAGTGAAGATGAGTGCAGGAAAACCATCGCACTGATTAAATATTCAGCTGATGAGGACACAATCAAGAAGAAGATGAAGCTGACATTTGACTTCCGCCGCAACATTGTCTTGGATCCTGAGCTGTCAAGAAGCACCGTACTGTCTGTCTTTCCACGTTTCAAAGATGTCCAAGGCTTGGTAATTTTTACATTGTTTTAAAGGTAATTTAAGAATCACATAATCCTGTTCTTAAGAGGGCTAAGTATGTAACAATTAACACTTTTCTCCTGGACGTGAAATATTAAAGTTTGCTGTTTTTGTTCTCCCAGGTGGAACAAGACTTTGTTCTGATGTTTGGAGAGGATGCCTCAAGCAGGTTTCTTGACAAATGGACCTCCATGTTCAAGCCAAAGATCATCCAACAATGCAGACATCTTCCATCCACCAGTGAGCTTGAAAACCTCCTCCTAGCAGCTGATCCTTCTGAAGCTGCCACTGAAGTGGACTATGACATTGGTATGATTGATGATTTATGAAGCAGGGGAACAGTAAAGATGCAAAAACTACCATTGTTGAAAGAAATATGTGTTCACTTTGAAAATGTGGGCGCAATTGTAATTACTTGTCAACACCCCTACATCTGTTCCACACACTGTGCAAACAGCAACGTAGACTAGCAGTGTACAACGATTTTGCAGAAATATGCAGGTTTTTCTACCATTTAATAAGGACTTCTTATCCAACTATAACACCAAATAAATCTACACAAATCTCAAACTATGGAAATAACACATCTGCATTTGAAATTGGATGATAAAGTAATAGAACAGTTTCCACTGTAGTGGTGCTCATAAGTAGAGCAGGGTAGTGGCTCTTGTCCACAATGGCACAACATCTCAGAGTAAATGTGAAATATTACTGGAAACGGTGTCGGTTGCTGTGTTTTTGTGATGTGTTGGCAGTAATAGGTGATAAAAATGTGCTCATGCTCAGAGAACTGGCATCTGTTGGTGTTTTGTAGAGAATAATTTATTGCAGTGTCAGGTTCATTATATTTTGCTGATGGTCTGATGAACATCAACTTTGTGTTGTTAAAGGTTGGGACAGTGACCTCTCATCCATCTTGCTTCTGTTACACCTGATTCCTCCCTCTGCTCAGGGCCGTAAGAGACCAGGAAAGGTGTCTGCTTCCCAAGCAGAGAAACATCTGGTGGTCTTCAAGGTTTGTATTTGTTCCTAAATTTACTGTGAAATTAGATTTTATTCAAGATTTCACTTGTAGTTTAATACTAGATGCACACGCATGCACACGCACGCGCGCGCACACACACACACACACACACACACACACAGAAGCTGATGTTTTTGTGTGTAGTGATCAGTGTTGGGCATCTCGCGTTAAAAAAGTAATTATAGTTGCAGTTAACTTTTTTCCCAAAAGTTATTGAGTTGGTAACTTTATTACCATATTGTAGAAGTAATAAGTTACCTAGCAAAGTAACTGATGTTATTTTTATGTTCTATAAGACAGTTACGTTCTATCTGTAATGTCAAAGATTTTTAACTGAATGATTCTTACTGTCTAGAACAAACTTATCAGTAATCTGAAACGTTCATTCAGTAAGAATGTTCTTATGGATATCTGGAATGTTTATTTCTACTGCAATACAGTTCCTGTCTGCCTCACACAGGGTATCCGTGGGTCCTTAAAAAGTCTTAAATTTGCTTTTCCAAATTTAAGGCCTTGAAAATCCTTCAAAATGACAAATAATCCTTAAATACAGTTTCCAAATGTCTTAAATTACCAAAGACCCAATAAACAAATTTCTTTTATTTCTATAAAATTTTGGGAATTTCTATTAGTGTTCAGCATTTTTTGTGTATGATATTTGCATAAGCGGAACCGTACACACTCAGTTGGTTGTGAAAGGGGGCTATTTTTAGATGAGCACATTAGCTGGTTAAGCTAGTGGGAGCTTGCGCCATGGGGAAGTGCAAGTTTAGTGGTAACTGGATGGCTAATCCCACGTTCGCAACGTAGTTAGCACCAGTTCCAGGCAATAGCTGGAAATTGGGCAGCACAGGTTGAGTGGGTTGTCCAGTAATCAGAAGGTTGCAGGTTCGATCCCGCCTCCGGACAGAGAATTCTGCTGTTGTGTCCTTGGGCAAGACACTTAACCCACCTTGCCTGCTGGTGGTGGTCGGAGGGACCGGTGGCGCCTGTGCTCGGCAGCCTCGCCTCTGTCAGTGCGCCCCAGGGCATCTGTGGCTACATCGTAGCTAATCACCATCAGTGTGTGAATGTGTGTGTGAATGGGTGAATGATACACTGCAGTGTAAAGCGCTTTGGAGTCCTTACTCTGAGAGGCGCTATACAAGTGTGGATCAAATTATAGCTTAAATGTAATTTAAAAAATAGCTGTCAATGTGGCCTTAAAAAAAGGTCTTAAAAAGTCTTAAATTTGGCTCCCTTAAACCTGCAGATACCCTGTAATAAATGTTAAAAAGGCCACATTAGGGTTTTAGGGATTCTGAAATATCTCAAACTTAATAACGGTAACGACAATGATGGGCAAAGTAATTAGATTACTCCGTTACCTTAAAAAAATAACAGCGTTAGTAACTCGCAGCAGAGTAATGCCCTACATTATTAATGGTCTCACCACGTGTTCTTATTTTGTGTTTACTCAGATGGGAACAAACATCCAAGAACATCTTGATTCCATCACGACAAGCACACAACCCTACCTCCTGGCTGTAGGACGAAGTAGGAAAGAAGTCTACCGGTTCTTTATCATACTTGACGACAATGCCATCCATTGTAGGTCGGCCTCTTCACTTGGTGCCTTTGATGAACTCTTTAAGGCACATTATGTTTTTGGCACAGCTTACAACCCTATGCTGCACAACATGTTCACCTTTATCCAGACAACTGTGTACAACATAGATGTCGGCAAAGTGAAGGAGAGTCCCCGTGTTGCAGAAGTTCGTGCTAGGTTGCTTCATTAATACTGGATTCATTTGACATCAAGTGTGATGTTTGTCATGCTGACTATACTTGAACAAATACACTTGTTAAGTATGTGTGATTAGTTCATGGTTATTTAGATACAAAACATCTTCACCCTAAATGTGCTCAGGCTGGATGCAGTGCATCTTTTAAAATGTGCTTTTGTAGAATAAAAAGTTATTGAATGCACTTTGTTTTAGAAACTTGTTTTCTAATCAGTTTAAAGTATTGTGAAAGACAGAAGATGGGAGTTGCCAGATTCTGGGGGCGTGGCGATTGGACGCCGGCTGGTCCTTGTTACATGTAATGAGGCCGGAGATAACAAAAGGGTGGCAGATCTACCAAGGTGGGTGTGTGATCGACTTGTCATTGTGGCACCCAGTTCTGGGGGGGTGGGATTGTTCGCAGTTGGTTAGGACTGCCGGTGATGAATACAGCTGAGTAGGTGGGCAGTGTTCCAGTGCTAGGACGGGAGGCTTGGCGCCTTCTTTAGGTAGCGAGGGCTGGGAGTAGTTGGGTGCCGAGACCGCGCCGACATCTGCCGCCGCAGACTCTGGCAGCTGGACCTAAGCCGTGGATTTACCTGCCATCCTCGCAAGCCGAGCCCCGGGGTGTTGGACTGTGTCGGAAGCTCAGACCCCGGGGCATTGGACTGTGTCGGAAGCTCAGACCCCGGGGAGGGGGTCGCATCAACTGGGACAGCTAAGTACCGCTGCTTGGTTTTATGTATGCTGTTCAGCTGATTTTATTGTGCCGTAGTGTTTTATTGTTGATTGTATTAATAAAAACTCTTTTGGATAAGTTGCTGCCTACTGGTGCTGTTTTCGGGTTCTGGCTGGAGGGCAAGATATTCTGCCCGTGCTCCCACTGAAACTTATATTACACTGGTGTCAGAAGTGGGATCCAGCGAATGGACAAACTGGGCTGAACAATTTGAAATGGCAGCCGATGTAAATAATTGGGATGAGCCCCTTAGATTAAAGTTTATGTGACTTCTTTTGTCTGGCAAGGCTCGAGAGGTTTATAATGGCTTGTCGGGAAGTGTTAAAGCTAATTATGCCTCGTTAGCAGAGCAAATGGGGAGGTGCTTGGATCCGTGTGATAGCGCTTATTGGAATAGAGCAGTTTTCTCCGCTCGATGCAGATGGCACAATGAGAGCGTTCGTGAATTTGGAATGGCATTATGACGGTCTGTTGTTAAAGCTTATCCGACAGCGGTTCCCAACACACAAGATCTGTTGGCTAAGGATCAGCTTATAGCTCATGTGGAGAATGGGGACCTGAGTGTGAGTTTACAGAGTGCCAAGCCTGCGTCACTTGAAGCAGCCATCAACCTTGCGGCGGAGCTTGAGCTTATTAGGGGTTTGGAGACCAGCTCATTATCGGATACAAGAGTGAGAATAACTGAGGAAAATGCCGATGACGAGCATATTAATTCACTAATGGGGTGGTTGAGTGCCTGATGCAGGAGGTGAACTCCCTCCAGAATGTGGTGCACACACTGTCTGTACCGTCTGCTTCTGGTCCCCACCATGGCTCTCAGAATACAAACTTACAGCCTAGTCGAGAGAATTCCCAAAAAGAAGAGAATGAGAGGTTGGGAGGTTGCTGGAAGTGTGGTTGTAACCGGCATATATGTCGGGACTGTCCTTATGTTCAGGGAAACTAGAGGGGGCTTGTACAGGTGGTCTAATGCCCGCCCCCCTCTCTGTTGTTGAGACCCCTATAAGAAGAGGAAATTCTGGGTACTTGAAGGCCAGGATAGGTGAAGCCTTTGCCTCGGTAGACGAGTATGTGACGAGACTGAAGGAAACATTGACTACGATGGTAGATGCGGTGAAACGCCATCAGTGCAGAGCCTCTGCGCAACAAAAGAGGGCATACGACAGCATTCTTGAGCGGGTGACAGATGTGCTGTACAGACTGGTACCCGTTGAGGGGGGTCCTGAGAGTGTGATTCACTTCAACCGACTTAAGCCGTGTACTTCAGGAAAGGAGTCAAGCTCGACGGAAGAAGGCAGATGAGTTGTAGGATCAGAAAGGTACAGAATCATCCTGCTTATAGCAGGGTTCTGGGACAGAAGACTGACAAGATTGTTTCCAGAAAAGACAGATTGAACGGACACAACACCCTCAGATGGTTTGGAGGTTGACGCGTTTGCCGCCTGAGCTCGAGTCACGACACACACACGGGGTGGGTCAGACCAAGAAGACACGTCCTCAGGGAGCCACAAGGGATTGAAGACCCATGGGGTACCATCGGCCGCACCTTGTTTGGCAAGAGAGTCTGCAAGGTCATTCAGATCCTTCTCAGTTCCGGGTGCACGAGAATGTCCTTTGACTTTACGCCAATAGATGTGCATGCCATATGATGTTGATAGGGCATCACAAGCCATGAAGAGGTCCTGATGTTTAACGGGCTTCCAGTTTGAGGTCAGGAACCCGTTACTCTTCCAAGAAGGTAGATGACAAATGAAACTGAGGCGCGCGTAGTCCGAGTCAGTGCAAATCACCAGCTCACGGGCTCCACGGTCAACAGCAAGTTGTAGTACTATCAAGATCCCAGCCACTGCTGCAAACTGTGAGGTCTTAGGACCTAACCAGTAACACCGGGAGTCCTTCTGGTCAGCGTGCAACCAGACGACACCCACGCCTGACCTAGGCGCATCACCGTGTCAAAAAGAACTGCCATCAACGTGCATTGTCGGCAAGTCCACACAGAGAGACTGGTCGAAGTAGTGGTGGTTGGGGTTTAGAAGAGTCTGAGGAGGGCTAGCTGGCAGGACTGACGTGACGGCGTCATCCGAGCAGTATTGGCACGCAGCCAAACCCATGCCTAGAGGGCTACAGCGGTTCTGGGCGTAGCGTACTTCAAAGTCGAAGCTTTGAAGAGCCAGCAGCCATGGCGCGATTTGCGCATTAGTCACCACACCATCTCTGATGCACTGACTGTTAAGGAAGGTCACTGGCTGATGCTGAGTTTCAATGATGATTTTATGTCCCCCGCTGTAGCTAGAAAAGTGTTTAACCACCCATATGGTGGAAAGCAAAGCTTTTTCACAGCCAGAGTACTTTAACTCAGGACCGGACAAGAGCTTACTAGCATAGGCTACGACATGCCTGTCGCAGTCATATACTTGGTAGAGACCGGCACTCAAACAGTGAGATGAAAAACCTACCTCAAGGTGGGACTATTTGTCACAGTCGGGGAGCGCCAAGCACGGAGCTGAGCATAACGCAGCCTTCATACTTCAGCACTTGCAGAGTACAGACGCTTCTCTTTTTGCTCCCTTATCTTTTTTTCCCAAGGCTCTTTGTCCTGTCTGCCCACAGAGCGCGTCTCTGCATTTCTTCTGAAAAACCCTATTTTTAACTATGGATTTGAGGAATTGGTCATTCAACACGATTGATAAGATTTTTTCAACAATGAGAACGGAGCAGGGGGCTCCCACGTGCCCACAGTGGACACACACGGCTGGGGATATGCTGGATTCCTGGAGGGAGTGGAAGAACGTATGCCTCTCCCAGCTGTCCAGTGAGGATGTCGAAGACGTGTGGATATTTGGCCTGATGATCACTGGATTTCTTCTGATTGGAGTGGGAGGATATCTGGTTTTCTGGAAATTTGGGAAGACGGGAGCAATTGGAGGGCGACCCGCACCCAAGGAAAGCACCGTCCATGTGGAGACTTCTCAGACTGGGACGTTACTCGAGGTGAATCGTATGCTGGACAATGTTCTAGCTGCGATACTGGTATTAGTGTGCAAAAGGGATGTCATTTCGGAGAGGGTCACCGGACGGTATGGACAAGTTGTAAAAACCTAAATTGGCTTCACTGAAGGACTGGAATGATCAGTAAAGACTGAAGGCAGAGAGGAAAATTATGTTCGCCTGACCCAAACAAAGTCTTGTCTTCCGAATCTGACGCCAGAGCAGCCTCGAGATGCTAACAAAAAAAAACACGAAGGAATGCAGACAGATGCTGTGAAGGTGTACTAGCGGTTAGCAAAGGAAAAGGCTAGTTTGTGTTGGTCAGCTTTATGGACAGGAATTGTCCAGAATCCAGATGCAATGTCAAGGGTGGAGAAGTATTTAGCGTCTTTCACTTTCGGGAGTTCTTGTTCCAAGCGGGCCATCGGCCACCTAGACAAGGGAACCTGTTTGTTGAGTTGTCTGTAGTCAAGGGTCAGTCGTCACTTACCATTAGGTTTCTTTACTGGCCACAAGGGAGCCGAGTGGGTGCTGTTACAGGGTCGGATGATCCCTTTCGCCAAGAGGCTTTATATGATTTCCTGGACTGGTCCATGGTACACCAGGGGAATCTTGTAGTGACGCACAAAAGTCGGTGTAGCACATGGCAGTGTAGGAATCCTGACTTCATGGATAGTGGTTAGACCACAGTCCAAGGAGTCGAGTGAAAGAGAGTCTTTGTATTTTAACAAAAGTTGTCGTAGTTTGTCTCGCTCGACAACGTTGGTAAGAGCACCTGCTTGGTCCACGACCTGTTCAATTTTAGAGAGAACATCAGAGGGGATCTCGGATGGAGACTCTGAGCTCGGCAGTGAGCATGCAGTTTCCCCATGCTCAGGGTCACCAACCGCAAGGCAGTGAGAGTCGGGGTCAGAAGGTGGAATGAACAGCAGGTGTTTTCTAACACCTGCCCTCAGTTCCCCTTCTCCAAGATCGATGAAAGCTTCAAAGCGCTTCAAAAGATCGACGCCAATGAGCAAAGGCATGGTACCGCTCTCACAGATGTACACTGGGTGTGTCAAAGTCAGCGGACCAATCGTGAATTGGAGAAGAGACTTGGAAGACAAGCACTGTAGAAGGAGAGAAGACACGGGCAGTTAATGCACAAGGGATCAGTTCTGGAGGTTGTACGCCTCCACCTACATCCAGGCAGACGTGGTCAAAAAGAGACTTTCTCATGATTGTGAAATCTGAACCAGTATCCAGAAGCGCGTCGCAGGTATGCCCCTGTTGCAATATCACAGATACCGTAGGCTTACCACCCCTCCCACAAGGCAGGAGAGGTCCCAGCAGTAGTTTGTCCGTCTCAACACCAGGGGGCGCCGGGCCACTGTCTGTGGAGGTTGCACTTATCATCAGTGTGGATGGAGCAAAAGACATTTTCCTGTAGGTCAGAGCCAGTCTGTGCATCCGGTTTCAGCGCATCTGTCAAATCAGCAGAGCACAGGGTTAGAACCCCTCCCACACAGGAGTTATTTCCAATAGCTTGGACCTTTGTGACTTCCTGTTGCAGATTGAAAAGCTACATCTGCATGTGTTTCATTTCAGAAAGCTGCATCTGCATTTGGGTCTGCGTGTAATTTTTCATCTGGAAAAACTGCATTTGCATTTGGGAAATCTGCATTTGTATTTCATTTTTCATCTGGAAAATGAGAGAAGCCAAATGGTTATTTTGGCTTAAGCAGCCTTTTATTTTTGCACTTCGTTTTCTGAGGGGAAATTCCCCAGGTGGCATTGTTACTCCTAATTGCCACTCCACCAGACGTACAATGCGAGCAGTCAGGTCACATCCGAGAACTGGGTCGTGCAGTGTGAGCACATGACTCACGAGATTTACTCTGCGGGAAAGTCATACAGTTTGAGCTGAAGCTGAATGCTAACCCTAACCCTTAAGGAAACAGCCTAAAGACGTGTTTACAATCCCTCTTTGTCAGACACGTGACCTGCATGTCAACCACACAACCCTAGTGCCATTTTGGGTGTATGATTCCCGTTGCTAGGGGAAGCTGCAGCTGAAGTTGAAACAGCACAAGTCAAAAGGATGGATATAAAG